AGTACTTTCTAAAGCTGTTTTAGCATCCATGTTCAGTTTCTGCCTTATTGAATCATTTGGGCTTTGACATCACTGCAGTAGAATTCAGCCTGCTGGGGATGTTCGATGATGGAAACTCTGTGCAATCAGGCTGGCCTACAAAACTGTTGGCAACACCATAGCTGCCCAAAACATTGCATGTTACTGTATTGAGTATGTCCCTTTATACAGAGTCACTAAAATGTCCTCCCACACACTGCACAGCCAGAGGCTCCTCTTAAGTGAAGGGAATAATAACAGTAAAATATATGTTTTGTGTGTCAAAATAGGATTTTACATTGAGATAAGTAACCGAAGAAGCATGGTTTATTTTTATCTTAGTATGCATAATTAGTCAGACGTATGAACTGTCATCACGCTACTGGGGAGGAGGGGAAGAACACAAGGGGGGTTTTTTTGGCAGAGAGAAAGGAATGATTTTCTGGTTTGCTTTGGTTTTACCGTCAGCTAGTTATCTCAAGATCAATATTCTTATGGGAGAAAAAAAAAAAAAGGAAAAAAAAAATCTCCATTTTATGGTGAAAACATAGCTTCTAACCTCTGCAGTATGAAGGTAATGATGGAAACATTAACAGTCCTTTGAGAGCAATTTATTCCTGGAATAGAATAGCCTCTGCCAGCAAAATTACATTCAAAAGTAACAATATTAGAAAATCCCAGTGACAAGGACTATTTAGCAAATTACACAGCTAAGAAGAATTTTCTGACTAATTTTGTTCCCCCAGTTCAAAACATGTTAAAAGGTCGAATTCCCCAAATGGAAAGATCACTTGGCCCAGATTTTAAAATACAGAACTGTTGCTTCTGATAGCATTTAAACCAGCACAAAGGTGTAAACCACATAAGAAGAGGACTATTATTATTCAGATGCATTTTGGAAAACCAGAGCAATAGCAACACTGCAGCTCAAAATCTTTGAGGTAGCACCAGCTCAAAGTGGGCCTCCACACAATCCAGTTCTGCAGAGATTTACACCCAAGAACCAGCATAGCTGCATCCGTTCAGCACCTTAGCAGTTCCTTCAAGATCCCCTATAGCACTACTCTAATCCACCTTCATATTTCCCATTTCCAGCCCCATCTCTGTTAACTCAGGCATCTTTTTGCCCCCCCTACTCCCCCCACCACCACCTCCTCCATCCCCTTTAGCATGGTGTGGACAGGTGCTTTGCACTCAGTATAAATCAGCTCCAAAACCAGACAGACCCTGGAGTCACTTGGGCCTCACAACTTTAAATGATGCCTAAATTCCATTTTAAACCCAAGCCAGGGTCACCGCCTGTCCTGTTTCACTCCTCTATTGTATCACCCCAACAACAGCTGGTAGATGTGCTCTGAGCGGCTTGTCTTTTGGCACCTAGATAACTCCCTTTCCTTGTATGAGGCATTGCTCTAATCCTTCCCTTTTTGATTATTATTCTGTGCAGGATATTAGGTGAGCCTTGCAGATACCACCTGAACTGACCAGTGCATTGTTAATATCCAAAGAACAGAAACTCCAGTTCTGAAATTAGGCAGAATTTCAAAATGACTTACTGTAAACTCATTTATATCACACCCTGAATTGAAGGCACATGAATTTGTCAAATGAAGTATCAAGTGGCTGCAGCCACTGCATTTCTAAACTGTTTCAATAAATCTACAGTGTTCCCTTAAACTTCTAAGCATCTCAACACCTATGTGCGATTTTCTTTTTCTACGTTCACAACATGTTATAGAGACATTCAAAAATAAATTACTCTTCCTTGAGATGATGGACACTTGGCAACAACACCTAGAGTTTCTCAGGGCAAGTTCAAGAGCAGACAGACAATACAGACTGACTGAGAGTCATAAGCTACAGACAAATATAAAGTGGCCAAGGGGAGCCAAAGCGCTGACGCATCCAAATTTTAATGAACTAGTTCAATGAGCAAATCCTGGAAATTCAAGATTCACCCAATAGACCCAGACTCTGGGCCCCAGATGTGCATTCACTGACCAGACATTTTAAAAGGCCTTAGTAAAGTCTTCCTGGGGGAGCCTGACCATTTTTCCCCTTTTCTTTTTTTTTTTTTTTTAGGAAATGAGTAAATCACAAGCACCATAGGCCAACCAGAGCTGCATATGTTTTACGTACATAAATGATCATAAGAAACAAAACACAGAGGGCCATTTTGCATTATTGTAATTGCAGCTGACAGACTCCAGAAGAACAAGAATATGACACATCAAAAAAAAGATGAATATGCAAGCTTAAACTAGGCACTTGATGTGAGCATCATAATTATGCACTCTGAGTCTCTCTGAGAGCTACAGGCCATCAGCCAAGAGCTACATAACTCATTTGGCAGCAAACAGGTAAGGAAAAATCCCAACAAAATCCATCATCATTTTTTTTTAAGGAATTACTTCAAGGTACTTTGGAAATGGCTTTAAGTCCCCTGTCTGCCATAGCTAAGCCACCTTACAGCCTTGACCACAGTTACTATAACCATGCCATGTTGAGCAGGCATGTTCCTGACTTCACCTCATTAAAAAGTCTTTTCTTCACCCCCTCACTCATTCCTCACCATGACACCAAGTAAGTCTATTTTTACCACAGAGGGAAGTGTCAAGAGACACTGTCAAGGGTGGTGTACCACAGAGCTGACCTACCACAATTTTACATACATTTAATAAAACAATTACCTTCAAAGCTCTTTGTTTTCTCAAAATAGAAGAGTACAACCAGGAAGCAAAATGAATTAAGGGGGAAAATGCAGTTATAGGTGAGAAAGAAGAGAGTAGGTTTGCTGCTGCCAGGATGAGGAAAAAATAAATGCTGAAAAGCTGAGGGGTTTCTTTCTGTTTTTATTTGAACTTTAAGTGAAAAATTCTTGTTTGTTATTTTTTAACACCCCATGGAAACATTTCAAAGCTGCTGGTAAATGTTTCAAAATCCATTTGAATAAAGTGATGCAGACCTAAATTTAGCCTTTTGTTGTTTTGATCCTGTCAACCTATTTTGTTGCAAATGTTTCTCCAGCATCATTCAGGTCTGCATCTGTGGTCCCACTCATTTATCTTGCTTTGAAATAAAAAATCCACTTTTGGCAAATGGGCAACCAAAACTTTGGAGTTCTGATCTTGTAAAGAATCACACAGGCAACTCTATTGACACAAAAGTTTTCAGTGTTGCATTGATCATGTCCATGAATCAAATGCAAAGGGACAGACTGTGACCTCACATTCAAGAACTGAATTGAAGGAAAAGTACAAGAAAGGTCTTGCCAAAGCAAGTCCTCTCCACACCACCGTAGCAGGACAAGTGCCTGTATTATAGAAAGCCTCATAACCTTTTCCAGCTGTAATCCCTATTGTCAAGATTCCCAGAAGAAAGCGCAAGAAGGCTGAGTCCTTGGTATCCACAGAAGTCAGGGTCATACAGCCACCTGTCATTAACAGAGTCCTATAGACATCTTGAAGATGTCAGGTTCAAATAAACACATCCCACACAAACATCATTATTACCTTGACCTTTTTCAGCTTTCCTAAGCACACACAGTTTACAAATACTACATGTATCATTTTCATATGTATAACCCACAGTTTACAGGTAAAAAGCAAACCACGTTTCTGCAAGGGCACATTTTTCATGTTTGCCAGAGGCACAATGGGGAAATGAATCCCAGAGCTCTCTTTCTTTTGGTCTCCAATATTCTAGCTCTGCCCTCATTATTCCAAAACCTCTCCTGCTCCTAATTTTCCACTTCACTCTCAACATACAGGTATTGGGGAAGAGGAAATCAGGTGCAGAATTTGTTTTCAGTTTCTGCTGAAGAGTTGAGAATCGAGAGATGCACAAAGCCCATGTTACTATACTTTGTATTATGTAAGAGCCAATGCAGTCCCATGTTTGACTGGAACAGTGAGGTAGCTGCCTTCACACCATGTGGCAGAGACACACACCACCACCTCCAGTTGTAACACAAGAAGCTGATAGAAACTCAGTAAATTGACACCATCATAGAGAAATAACTACAGAGGAGACAGAGACTTACCAAAATTATTTTAATACTGTAATGTTAACAACATACACCATGGCATAGCACACCTTTTCCAACATGACAGTGGCTGAGTGCCATCATTATCACATATCTTTATCTTTCTAAAAACTTATAAGAAAGGTTGGCTTTCTACTCCAGTAAAACATTTGAATTTAAGCAGCTGTGTAGTTTCTTAGTCTTTAGTCTGGCTTTGGGGCAACATTTGAAAATGAAAGGATCAGAACTATAAATCTGGATGTCACAACAAAATGTTCATCTGTAAACAGCAACCTTACAAATCTGACAGACTAGTCTGGTAACTATGATAAAATGAGAAATGAAATCTCTGTGCAGGCTATTTGCAGAACCAGCTGCATGAAACTTGTCTCAGTGGTACCTTTATATGTTTACTTGCACATGAATACACTGTAGATATAAAATCACAAATCAACAAGTCCATCAACTTTATTCTCAGTCATAAGAATCCAGTGAGGGGTGTCATTTTAGATAAACCACCAGCAGTGCAGAGAAAAGTAACTTAAGTTTAAATAAAGTGAAAATCTTGCTCAGACTTTTTTTATGTTTCTCTAGTTTCTGAGATAATTATTCCCAGCAAGAGAATTTATTTTTTGCATTCTCCTTTTGATAGAAAAGCCTAGATGATAGATTGCACTGAAATAGCTTTAGGTACACTGAAATATCTTTATGTACACTGAACCATCTTTTTCCATGTTCTGAACATACCATCTAAACTGTGCAGCCTCAGAGCTGTTCCAGCTTGCCAAATTCCAGGGTGCAAGTTGTAACACTGGTGCACTGAAGCTGTACTGCCCTATGCCACACTGATAGCATGAATAGCTTCAGTACTGGCTGCTTCCTGTGTCACACCACAGCAACATCCACTCATGACTATTGCTATTCATAAAGTTTAAAAAACATCAGTTAAATCACTCACCATTGCAGTTGCATGGTCATGGGTGCTGCAGTCTTCTACATTTATTCTGAAAGACATTTAAAAATTTATGTTGGCAAATTTCTTAGCTTCAGACACTGCCTCTGCCCTTCTGATTCTGCAGTAGCAATGACAACAGCTTTCCAAACAAACTGGCAAGTACTGGACCAAAAATATAGCACGGGAGTCCTATGGAGATCAATGCACTACCCAAATGTGTCAAATTTAGCAGGAATGGTGCCATATGAATGTTCATGTGTCCTCACATTGATCAGCTAGAGTTCTCACAAGGTCTTGAAGGATTCTGTCTCATTTTCACAGAAAACATCCCTAATTCTTTGCTTTTCAGGGGCTGTTGGGGTTAAGAGGGGAGATGTGGGATGAGGACAAAGGAAAGAAGGGTAGTGTGTATGCAAGGAGATTATTTCAATTTTGTCCCAGTGAACATCCAGGGCTCTCAGGGGGAGCTTAACTGTATCTGTGACTTGGATTTGGGTTTTTTACAAACAACTATTAGTTGTTCCTGACTGTTTATTTTTAATAAATAAAATAAAATAAATAATAAAAATAATAAAAAATAATATAACAATGCTTTATTAATAAGACTTTAGATATGAGTCAAATTCTTCTCTTTTCCAGAAAAGCCACATGCAAAAGAAACAAAATTCACAAACTCTAATCTGCAGCTTGGTAAAAGCTTTAAAAGCCACATTTTGGGTAAGTTATTTACAATATGGTCAGGTACATCTCAAAATCTGCTGATCTCCATTTAGATTTCAAGAGTGTTTTACATCAAGTACCTACTAAACAAGCTACAGAACAGTTTTTCTCTTTTCCAGTTCACTATTAAATGTGCTTATCATCTATGCACTGCTGCATAGGTATCTTTAGAAATATGCTCCTAGTTTATTTCCCCATATCACATCAGGTTACACACACTTCCAATGGTTTCTGGTGCATCTGCCAAAGGCTCAGAATGACACAGATCTTTGAAGCAGAAAACATGTGCTGTGCATTTAAAAACCTTACTCAGCTCTATTTATTATTGCTAGATTAATGAATAATTTTTTTTGTTTGTGTGTTTCATTATGAAATATAATATGCCCACATAGACCTAATCATACAGTCCATCGAGTAAGCAAAATTCAGAGGAAGACCATAAAGGCTGATATTAGAGAATGACAATAGCGTAAGAACCACAGGGAACTTCCCCCTGAATTTCAAGCCCTCTTGGTAACTGTGTTAGTACTGAAGATGAAAGTATACTGGATCACAAACCTTTGAAGACCAGATTTTCTAACCCCTACCCAGGCCTAACAGTATAAGTTCTTCCACTCATTTCAGGAGTATCTAAAAAGATCTGTCAAAAAACACTGCTCTATTTAAAGACAAGTGTCCAAGTCTCACCCATAGAGATTTCATCCACATGTGTGAGAATACAAATAAGATTTTTTTACATGATGAAGGCAATAAACAGAGAGAGAACAGAAAGGTCAGAGAGATCTACGGGTTGAGGTCAGTGGAAAAGACTGCTCACTAAGACTACAGCAAATCATGACAGAAGCAGCCACAGACTGTGGTTTCCAGGCAGCTCAAGCAGGAACTCTATGTAGGGCCAACACCTTCCTGATGCAGAAGCTGCGGTACAACCTCAGTCCCTGGTTTTAGGAGACCCAGAGCCACCACTCTCCAGCCACGGGGACTCCAGTACACCTGAGCACATTCTGTAGCAACTTTAGGCGCTGTTGTCTTCCACTATTCAAATGCTCCTGGATCCCTAATGATGGTATAGGTCTTGTCTCTCTCATCATATAAAAGAACACTATTCACAGGATCAGGCAGATGGGTCACCTCAGAGACAGACCCTCTTACTAATTCTCCATGGAAATTGTGTTCAAAAGCAAATTTTGTAATATCTATTGAAGAGAAAAAGAAGCCTTATTACAAGGCCCGATTCTTCTGTTTAGAGCTTTACAATGGCTTATGATGGCTAAGGGTCAGGTCCTTTATCACATTTGTGTGACCATTACTATTCCTAGAAGAAAGCCATCAAATCTAATGGCTTTGATGTGGATGAAGCTGCAGTGCTACTTTATGACTATTTGCAAGTCTCATTTCTCATCACCAGTACCAGTATTACACACCATATGCTTTTGCTCAGAGCAAGGCAGGAGATAGCATGGGGCTTCAGACTTCATTGAACACACATCATGTTGTGCAGCACTTGCTACACCACCAGTGTGTACTCTAAACCATAGTTTCCTGCTAGAAATGTTTCTTTTCACCAACTTGCAAAAGACAGGAGCAAACAGACTCCAACTCAGGGTTCAAGAGACTATCTGAAGAGATGAGGAAAGCCTCACCACGGTTTCCTGCAGCTGTCATTGTAAGAATAGACTCGCCTCATAAAGTCAGCATGGTAACTATCATTTTCTTTTGAGGTCTAGTGATAGCAGCTTTCTCGTGTAACATTTTCAGACTCTTGCACCAGCCATATCATTGCTATTTCAACAGCATCAGCACAAAAAATTTCCTATGCAGCCCTGTTGTGCCAGCTCTAAAAGATGGATTTTTCTGTTCATTCAGACTCACTAAACTAGCTAAATGTTGGTATTGCCTTAGAAAATACCCTACAATTATTAGGCTGCCCCAAGAAAATAAGCATTAGATTTCCACAAATCTACCTGTATTCTGAAAAAGCCTGGGGTTTTTAATGCAAGGATGGGGCATCAAGTGACATACAGTTTGCAAGCTCAAAGTATAAATACTAAGTTATGAACTATTATCTAATGAATCTATACACTTCTGCCTTTCCTCTTAAATGTCAGGACCTCAGATAGAGGGAAGAGAAACAGTGTATCTGAAAAGAGTAAAATGTCCTTCATTCTTGTTCTAAATCTGCAGATATTTAAAAGAGATCAAGAGATGAGAAGGTGAGTGTCCCTAAAAACATTATGGGAGAGTCCATGAAGCAGCAACTGTGTTCCACAAAGCTGTCTGAACAGCACATACACCACCACAAACACCATGTTTCAGTACAAACCCTTTTACTTCCAGCACTTGATGCCTTTATCAGTTGTAATACCGTATGGAATCATTCCCATGGTTTGCTATGGCAAATTTACCTTCAACCTGAATACAAAATTTTGCAGGAAAAAAAGTGACAGAATTTTACTGCAGGCACTACAACTAAGCAACTTTGCTCTGTATAGATAGAAAATGTGGGAAATACGGAAAAAGCTCAAGAGACATGGTATGGCTTGTTAAAGATTCAGGTGCTTTACTTGGAGTCCACTTGAATGCATCATATATATACATATATAACATTCTCCAGTTCTTTTTATCTTGATATTTTATGCCTCTTCATTTCAAGACAGAATCAGCAATTATGAACTGGGCTTTAACATGTCAAACCATTCCATCATGCCCCATATTTTCCTGGAAAACCAGCCTTGGCATCAATGAAGTTCCAGATTCAACAATAAATACTGCATGTCAGTTTGCATCCCATTTTTACTTAAATCATCATTAGCTACACAGAGCTAAATGTAGATGGCTGCACCAAATATGTGCTTATCAAATATGTGCTTAGCAGAGATATAATGTATATACAAAGAAAGAATTGTGGTCAGACAATCTTTCAAATTAAATTTGTTTGGCCCAGGTCGAAAATAAAAAATTTGTGACAATTCTCAGTCTATTCAACACCTTTCACACCAAATTTAAGCAGAATTACAGATGGTTTGACATCTTATTAGCTTTATAAAGAGGCAACATATAAATGACAAAGTAAACAAGTTGTGGATATAGATATTTTTCTCAAGTTAACCTCTAAAGGCAATTGACGGTTTATATAAGTAATTTAAGAAGTAACAAACTAATTTTTCATCCATTTGGCCTTGAAGGAAAGCATTCTATTAACACTTTGTGTGCCTGTTTCCCTGTATGTAATGCCATGGATTTTCTCAACTGAAAACATCCTTAGAGTGGCCAGTGAGTCATCATACATGGGAGGCATCAGCTATAACCTGTGAAAAGTACCAGATTATGTCTGGAGTCAAATGCACATGAAGCAGTACTTTTTCCAGAGTTTGGCTGTGTTACACTACTACTCAAAAAGGATGGGCAACTGGTTATAGATGAACAGAAAAATTAGCTTGCAATTAGTCTTCAAAAAGTCATTGAGATTGTTCCACCAGCCCAAGACAAGATGAACCCTACCAGTATCTTTCCTTCCTGATGGTTATCTAAACCACTGGAATTTCTACTACTTGACGTCCTTTCCAGCTTCCCCAGGCAATATATACCAGTTCTTTACCATTTGTCTATCTTTACCAGTAGAAAAGCTGACCTGAGCCTTTCTTGTGCTAGTTTATGCCCTTTAGCTTCTTCTCCTAGCTACCAGGGACATGGTTACCAGATTGATCCCTTCCTCTTTGCAGCTGCTTGATACATACTTCAAATCTGCGATTTCCTCTCTCATGTAGGTTAAGAAAATCTGATTTCAATATTCCATGCAGATGTTTCGTCAATCCCTTAAACCTCTATTTTAGTTCTTCTACCCAGCTGATTATACCTGCCAGTAAAGTTTAAACCCAGGAGGGTCACATGAGATCAGAAGGTTCATTTTATGCAGCTGGAAAAGCTGTGACTTTTTAGAACTTTCTAAAGCACCTGCCTTTTTCCTACTTGCAATCACAAAACACTGTTGGTTCCTGTTCAGGTGCTTAGCCATGACAGTACTAGGTTCTTTTCAATTAAACAACTACCTTCATTATTTTCTGTCCTGTATCTGTACTGTTGCCCATTCACATCCTCCTCCTCTGCATTTACTCCTACTGAAATACATCCCCTCTCTTCAGAATTTTTATTCATCTTCTCTTCAAGTTTTGAACATTCCTCAGCAGGTTCAGTTTGAGTGTTACCTACACCCAAATGCATCATTCAGATTGTGTAAATTTTCAACAAAACCAAGCTCCAGAGATAACTCCACTGAGCCCTGCTCAGGAGCACACTGTGATGACAAAGGATCATTGATAACATTCTTGT